CCAAAGGGTATCGTTAACTGTCAATGTTGCTTGTTATCGATCAAGTTGTTCACACACGTTCTGCCGGCCATTGTCTAGCATTTCACGAGTTTAATGCATGATGCAAAACAGATTCCCAAAATCTAGCCCACGTGAGCTGGTGGCAGCTGTTCCTCTTTTGGGTAATTGATTTCCAAATCACTGTCCAGATGTTCTCCTTTCATTGCTTGGTCGTTTGGTCAGCTACTAAAACGTATCACTATTTGCCCTCCCATCCACACGTTTTTAGAAGGTGCATATTCCTGACAAGTTGAAAAGTGACAACTTGAAGTCCAAGTTTTCAGTTGGACAGAAAGTCAATTGCCGTGTCATAGATCATGACCTGCTAGAAAATGTCGCTGTCGGAACCATGAAAAAGTAAGTGTCACGTTCTCTTGAATTTTCACGCTTGGTCAATAGAATAAGGGTTCTGCTTGTTTTCAGTGGTGCAGGCATTCGCAAATAGAGTAGACTGCCGTAGAATCTTCATGTTTGTGAATCAGATTCCCCGATTCTTCGTTGATCAACACCAGGAAACTTTCGTCGAGGCAGCGTATTACTTTCACACGGAGAACAATTTACCCACGGCTCTGTCACTGCAAAATCACTTTGCACACATTATAGTCTACGATAAAAGTAGAGTTTTCTCCATAATAATGAAAACATATACGGTAGAACCGATCGCTAGGTCATTGTGCAAGTTTTGAGCGAACTTCGCGGTTTATTTATTGTGCACAGACAGCTGACACAATAAATGATAGTCAATATGAGTTGTATATTGTTTCCTGCTTTGTTAAAAGGGATCAGAGGGAGTGTTCTTGATCACTGCACTGTGTGGCGACATATGCGAAACCACACGTGCTTCGCCTTAAGTATACCACAAGTATAAATGTGCATGTACTCACCTTACATATATATATATATATACATATACATAGATATATATGACAATAAGTAGCACGTTATTGACTGGCCGAAATTTCCCTGAAAGCAAAAAATTGGTTTCCCTGTGGTTGCTCCTTGTCAGGTATACCCGGTTACCTCTCATATAGTCATTTATTTACTTGAACGTCAGGTAAATGTTTTCATCGTCAATTTAGTGTATTTACGTATGTAAGGCAGTTCGACAGAGAGTGGGCTCTGCAATCAATTGATGATTGGTCTTTCATTGATGGAATATATGCCCTTCGGACTGGGATTCCACGTCCACCAAGCGCGATGTATCCCGATACCAAATAGAGTCAGTGACCATATATGCAGTAGTCATGGGGAGTTCATGCATCTCATTAAAGGTTTTAGAATTCAGGATTTGCCAACTACCCTAGGCAAGCCATCCGTCATTTGTTCGCCACTCCAGTGATTGGTTTTTCACGCATTACCGTCGGTGTCTACAACTGATATGAGCTACATAATAATCGATCTTTTATCCGGCGCGAGGTAAGAGAACCAGGTCTACTTTTTGGTTGACCAGTTGTCTTGTTTCGGTCTTGATACGATGATTTCAAATAACCAGTTATGGCCAAGGGGATCATTCATTTTGCTCACGAGAAAACAGTTCAGAAATGAAATTATCTTGGCAAGTGCTCCAAAGTTAATGTCAGAAATACCTAACATGTTTGACGTGATCTATGAAGACGTTCCTTGTTGCTTATGTTTTTTTCCTCACATTAATGATGTTGTGGGAGTGGCACTACATTTATATTGAGCCTTTCAACCAAATATTATGTGCTCACTTGTCGAATTCTATGATAATACTTTTTCTTTAATCTTATGAATGATTTCCCGATGATACTTGGTCAATATTTGCTAACAGGAAACTTCTTCGTCTACCTTACCTGTCTATCAATGAAATTTCTCCGGGAGATAAAGTCAACGTGAGTTCGTTTGCTATTATTGTCTTTGATGACTACTTTGTCGGGGTGATTGTAGAGAGTTAAATCATCGTAAAAGTTTCACCTAAATTTACCACTGACTCTCACTTAAATTTGTCTCCAACTCGTTCTTTGATAATTTTTGTTTTCCAGTTTATCACAGAGAACTCACTTGCTCTTCCCCTTGGCTGCAGTTGCATCTTGTACAATAACAGATAATGTAATCCAGTTTTGAAAAAAATGATAAATTTCGAAATCTAATGATCAGGAAACACTTGGTTCTTATTGTCTATTCGCAGACCCACTATCTCTGTCTTCCTCGATCTGAAAGTGGCTTTCGACTCGGTCGACTGCTCTAAACTGTGGTGTTGCCTTTCCCTGAAGGGTGTGCCTGCGAAGTTTCTTTCAATATTACGATCTCTTTATATTAATAGCCGAAGTCAAATCTAAGGTTACGGCACTTTTTTGCCCGAGTTCACCACGGAAAGTTTTGTTCATCAGGATTGCCTTCTCTCTTTTTCTATTTAACCTTGTTATAAATTTCATCATGGAGACAGTCCTATCCTCGTGCGAGGATAGTGGCATCGATTTGCTCCCAGCTGGCAGGCTGTCTGATCTAGAGTGTGCAGACGTCATTGTGCTGTTAAGCGAAGATCCAGGTAAGTTACAAGCTTTTCTGGATAGTTTGAGTGCCAGCGTAGCTATGCTCGGTGTGCCTTTTGCACCCTCAAAGTGTAAAATGCTGCTACAAGGTTGGGTTGGTTCAGCCCCGAACCTCACTCTAATTGGGGAATTAATAGAGCAGGTGGATAAGTTTTGCTATTTGGGCAGCTACTTCTCGCCCGGTGGATGCATCACGGATGATGTGTCAACTCGCATACAGCAGGCTTGGTTGGCATTTGCCTACTTGAGACATCTGTGGCACCGTCGCGAAATCTTGCTGTCTGTGAAGAGTCGAGTATATGCCGCGGCAGTTCTGCCAGTTCTGTTATACGGCACAGAAACTTGGCGATTAAGAAAACAGGATAAAGATAGACTGTCGGTGTTTAAACATCACTATCTACGCAGCATTGCACGAATCTCGTGGGGTAACCGAACGAGCAATACTGAGGTCAGGCGCAGAGTTTTAGGTAACCGCGGTCGCCCACTGGAGCATGTGGTTTACCTTCATGGATTACGTTGGTTGGGGCATGTGTTGTGCATGTCACCAATCAGGTTGCCACAGCGAGCGATGTTCGCCGAGGCATGTAGTTAGTGGAAAAAGCTAAGGGTGGTCAAGCTAAGATCTGGCACGAGGGTGTGAAAACCTTAACCAGGAATCTGGGTCACATAGGTTCTGTTAGGCTCCCTGGATGGGGGTGATTGTAACCGATGCTTAGAGACAGAGTGATATGGCTGAGTGCCGTAAGCAGTGGCGTTCGTGCATCTTCTCAATTTGTTTGCAACCTTAGTCCACTGAACTTCTTCATTTTCTATTCGACTCTACTTTAAACTCCTGTCTTTCTCCTACTGTTCATGCCAATGGGCGGCCAAAACAGAGCAACCAAAGCCGGCGCACGAAAGTGCATGGTTTATGGTTGTTCGAACTGAACTGAACTGATTCAGGTAATGTTTTATTGAACACGCAGCCAAAGGCCATACTTTTTGTTGCTGTACTAATAAGGCCAGATGCAAAGCTTGCGGGAGATTAGAACATTCTGAGCTTATCTATCGTCTATTGTAAAGTTGTTGTTTCTTCATTAATTACCTTACTTATCATCGTCAGACGTTGTGGTTAACGACGTCATCTGCATATTTCGTAAATTACGCATATAACTTGACGAATAGGTGGCTCTTATAAAGGAGTGGAGTTTATCTCAAGGCATTCCACAGTTTTTTCAATGGTTTGGAAGTAGTTCTGTTAATCGCTGTACTTTGCTCTTTTTGGAGGAAGAGACAAAAGCTACGGTCATAGACAATTTCAGCTTATTCAGGGGTGGTGTATTGGGCACAGTCAAAAATTGAAATGGAGTCAACACAGCAGCCATTTGAATGTCGACAACAAAACAAATAACAACATATGTTTGATTTGTAGGCAAACTGAAGGGAACCTAGCCCAACGTTGATAAACTATTGTGACACTTAAAATAGCCTTCCCAGTCAGTCGGTTTACAAGGGCTGGATGTTGACTGGCACCATTTAATTCACAGGCACGGAGATGGCCAAGCTGCTCCTGGCAATCAAGCGTAGTGCTAATGCCCAGGGTTTAATTCATGAGAAAATGTATTATAACATCGCTGTACTTGTGATGAGCAGGGATATCTCATCAAAATGCAGAAGCAAATGTCTCGGATGGGTGGAGCATAGAACCTTTTCCTCATTAGAATACCGACCGACTTCAGAATTGGCACCAGGATCTCCGTGGGTGGCATTATGTGGAGTAAAGAATAAACGCTGAATTAAGCTATTATTTGTTTTAACCAAACATTGAATAATATGAATAAAAAATGGAATATAATCATAGATTTTCATCACATGGCGATTGGTGGTAGAAAAGGTATCTCCAATAATCAGAATGCTTGTTGTAAGAGATATTATAGAGCAAGAACCGGCTTATTCGTGGTGTGTGGGGAGTTAAAACGAGCCATAGTTTTCCATAATTCGGCAATCAAATGAAACATTCAAGTGTAACCAGGTGCAATCAGTTGAAGATTACCGCCTTCATCATCACAGTGAAATACACAAGAGAACGTCGCTGATTGCTGCCAGACTTACACACGAAGCACGATTGTGTATGGTGGAAAGGGAAAAGGAGTGAATCTCTATGTCCAGGTGTTAAAACGACAGAGACTGTGAACACAATCTTCCCAACGGCTGATGATTCTTACCCACCCGTTGTTGACGAAATCATCTTGTCAATGAGCTCATTTCAGTTGACCCTTTGACCAATCAGGGTCCACCGTTTTGTGCACTTTTTACTTTCTTTTTATTGAATATACAATGATACAATTTTCAGGCAGGTGGAAATGGTCAGTCAAAGAGCTGTCATTTAACACACAGTGGGGAAAGTTAGGTGACGGTGGTGGTTGGTTTCGAACACACTCACACCGGGGTGATAATTTAGTGACGTTACCACCGGGCCACCACCATTGCCCTTGAAGTAAATCGATAAAAATCGATTGACCTTTTCGCGCAATTTCGATATGTGGTTATAAATAAATTTTGCGTCTGCGTTATCTTTCGCGCAAATTCCCTGATCGCACCTGCTCGGGTGAAATGAGACGATTTCTTCGCACCGGATAAACGCGACAGAGTACACTGTCTAGCTGTGCATACCCAATTCCGGTATGCTGACCTGATTGTAAATACATCAAAAATGCCACCGCGTTCAGTTCGTTGCCATGTTTCTGAGTATTCCCAGTCAATTAGATGCGGAATGTTTTGGATCACAATCCGAGGGACGAGAGGTACCTACTCTAACTAATGTTTGTACATTTCTTGTTTTTTCTACGCTATTAATGTTGACTTCCACGTGGTTTTTTCCACCATGTAGTGACAGGTGACAATAAGATGCAGTGCGGTAGGCGATTGTTGGGCATGAGTCATGTCCTCGTTATCTGAATTTAGCGTAACAGTAAATTTCCCTTGGAAACATTTCCAATAAAATGACAGTTCGGTGTCGCTAACTCGCTTGTTGCATCAAATGGCAAAAACCTGCGATTGTTCATCGTCGCTGTTTCCTCCCTTGTTCTGTTTTATTTGCTTAACTTCATATAAAAGTCTTTTCACCTTTTAGACTGTTATTGACGTATTCCATATACCTTATTTGTTCCTCCCCGTTACTTTCTCATTCTACCTGAAGACCGAGATCGTTCGCTTCACCAAAACAGGTATTGTTGTCCGTGTAGAAGAACGTCTGAACGGACTTGTTCCTTTTCTTCATTTGGCTGACTTGCCTATCAAAAATCCGGCACAAAAATTCACACGTGGACAAAAACTGTTGTGCCGCGTAAGTTTGCCACGATCAATCCGAGTAATATTACCTACTCTGTGGTATGCCTTGTCAGCAGTGGGATACTTCGTTTATCTAGATCTCTAGATTTGCTTGTTGTTCACTGATCAGAAATTTTGTGAACCGATATAACTGTGGTCTCACGGCGGTGCGTGTGAGTGTGTTTGTGTGCACGAACCAGCAGCAATACATCATCACACCTGTTTCGTTGCAATTCTATTCGTGTCGTACCCTGGTACCGCGGGGTGATCCCATCGTGACTTCCCAGACAGCAGCTTACTCTGTATATGAGGTGTGATAATTGAATTTTCCTTTTGATGCCCGGAGGACACTGTGTTCTATCGCAGTCTGTGTGATCAAGTCCCGGTAACATCGTCCTACCTTTCAACGTATTGGGTTCCCGTAACAATCTTGGGTTGACTACGATACTCTTGCGAAATGTCGACTGTGTATCTGATAAATGCGAACTAAGTAGAACGAAAAGTATTGATCCAAAATGTACAGCTCCCAAGAAGCGACGACACTGTTCAGCCAACTTTTCGACTGAGAGGACATAATTGGGTTTGTTGTCAGAACAATCCCCAGTATGGTCTGAGATGGGTGTATTGGGTTGTGACTGGTCACACATATGAACGAGAATTGAGAAAAACGATATTGTCATAGCTCGAGTTTCGTCAACTTGTGGATAATGTAGAGTTGTTGAGTTGCTCTACAGTACATTCAAAAGCTGTGTAAAAATAAAAGCCTGTTTGAAAAACATGCAGTCTGGTGCAAAACAAGAACCGAATCTAGTGCTCAGCATTGGGAGGCCACAATGATGGTTCGAAGTAACTAGCTGATACACAGTTTGTTAAATCAGAACAAAAGCTTGAACCCGTCATGGTCGGAAGAAGAACTTTTTAATTTTCGATTGATCTGTCTAGTACCACAGCAGGACTGAAACCGGTAAATGGCCGACCATTTGCCAGTTTTTAAGTTTTGCTCTCTAAGACATAGTACTTGACTCTAGACTATGTACTAAGCAAATTACGGTAAGTTTGTAACAAAGTAAAAGGTTCATAATTTACTAATGGGCGGAATACTGACAAGTGAACCAAGCTAAATGAAGTATATTTTCCTGGGGAATTCGCAACCGGAGCCAACCGAGGCCTGGCCGCAAGGCAGCGGGGCGGTGTGTGAAAATCGCAATCCATTGGGAGCCGGTATCCAGTTAATCGGGTTGTACACCCAAGGTGCCCAACACATCACCATGCTCCGTCGAATCGATGGCCGCTGCCACAATCAGAAATGTGTGTCGTCCGTACATCTCTTTGTGGATTTGAAATCCAAGAGTACAGTCAGCCCCCCTCCAGGTAAACCGTCAATGGTTCATCTATCCGGCCAAATCCCCGGATGTGGGTTTTCCGTTCTCCTACTTCGGTGGGGAAATCTCCACCACAGGAAAGCAGTGAGTAGGGCTTCTTCAACAGAGACCATTTGAGGCGCTTGGTTATGAAAGAATGTTTCGCTAGGTGTTAGGGAACGGAGACCAGTTACCACCCGAGGCACCCGCCCAGGGCCATACTGAGGCTTTCTGATGTATTTGCAATTGTTTGGGGACACTTTTTCACCGTCTAGGAAAAACTGTGTGCTCATTGATTGGGGGAGTATGGAGACTGATTCAAGTGGTTACCTTATTTTCCTGTCGGATTGGTTCAAACCTTTATAGAGTGCGCTGAACTCGCGGTTCGGTTGCATGTTTCCTGTGGCGAAAAAGTCGTAGAGTATATCGAGGAGAAACCTCATTGATATTGATGATGATTTTTTTATACCGTGGCGTGAGTGAATTCATGCGGTGTTGCAAGTAGATTAGCTGGCTATGTTTGGCTTCAAACCAGACGTACTGACACTGACACGTGATATGAACTTTCTGTCGATGGTAGAATTCGTATTTATGTGCTGTCAAATTAGCACGCTATGGGTTACACGTGGTCGCGGTTGGTCACCGTAAGAATCTGCCAATTTCGTATCGTAATGTATCTGTCATTGGCATTGTTTCAGCTGTTTTTATCACACCCCACTGTGATGAATAACCAAAGCAGTAAACATGGAGGGTCTACTGTTTACCGGTGATGACCGTCAACCTAAGCCGCTGGGTTTGAAGTGGCAGACCACTTGAGACCTCAATAAGATAGGCGTGATATTGAGCCGGACGACATCATAGCTGTTCCAGCAAAGTTGTATTGTGGTAATAAATTCCTAAGCTGAAACCTTGTGGACGAAATCACGTCAATGAGATTACTAGCCAGTGTTTCCTTACAAGCGTTTCACGGACAACTAGCGTGTTATTAAATCAGCATACATTGTTTTCGTTTATTATCGCCTTCAGTTGACCAAATGCTTTCCAACTGACATTTTTTTCTATTGCAGAACAACTCCACCAATTCCTCGATCTTTTTCTATGGCATTTTCACCCCCTCCCAACTAGGTACTCACAGTGGACAAGACGGCCAATAAGCTAATTCTTACGGCAAAACGTGGTTTGGTGGAGTCCAACTGTCCGCTTCTTGGAAGTAAGGAGATGATCGATTTGGTATCGGAAAGCAAATTCCTACAGGATTCCAGTGATCAGCTGTTCAGTGCGTTTGTTGCGAAAGTTCTCGAGAACGGAATGCTTTTAATCGGCGTGAACAACATGCGCGCTTGGTTACCCAGGAAAGAGTGTGGTCTATCGAGTGATGATGCGCTAGACGCCACGTTCTTTCACGGCCAGGTGCTTCGTGTCCGTGTGATACGAAGCTTCAAANGATATATATATATATATATATATATATATATATATATTTCACGCACACTTGAGCCCAGACTGTGCCAAACAAATCAAAAGAAAAAAGTTCCGTGATTTGCTGGTGGGCACTACACTGCCAAATTGCCCATACCAAGGCAGGTGAATTTTCCTATGGAATTCACAAAGGGAGCTTTTGGTTAGCCTAAGCCTGAACCGCAAGGTAACCGGGCGGTGTGTGAAAACTGCATTTCATTNTTCATTGGAGGCCGTTGTCCATCCAGTTTATCGGATCATACACCCTCCGGACGGGGTCAAATGTCGATACCCAATCGAACCGGTGACCACGACCAGAAAGGTGTGGTTCATACGCATCTTCTTGGTTAGTTCGGAATCAGGGTTTGTAACCAACTCCCCTAGGCGAACTACCATTGGTTCACCGATTCGGTTATAGCTCCATTTGTTGGTTTTTCGTCCCCTCACTTTAGTGAGAAAATACCTACGCTATGAGTAATGATGGGTAGGGCTTCCTCAGTACATGCTATTTGAGGCGCTTGGTCGTATGGAAGAATTTCGCGAAGTGCAAGGAAAGGGTGACCAGCGACAACCCGAGACACCCACCTCCAACCGTACTGAGGCTTTCGGACTCGTTCGTGCCTGTGTTCACTGAAACACCTAGTTTACATAAGCACAGACTTGGTTTTAATCTGTTGCATTTCTTGGAGTGAATTTGTGTTCCGTATAATGATGACCTATGGAACCGCATCGGCAGCTCGATTGGTGGATGACACAACGATATGTGATTGAATTGAACCGTTAAATAATGATACCGCGATGTTGGGACGGAATTTTCGCTTCATGTCATGTTATCAAGGTACTGGATAAAGTGTTACGATGAAGCTCGACATCCTTCCAGCAAACATGGTATCTTTCGTTTTCCAGCTCTCTCTATCTTGAAGTGTATCTGCTTCGATTGGTTCAGTGCGCACTGATTGAATTGCTTTCTTTGAATATATTACTAAAGCATAACATTCTGGTCTCACGTACACACATAAGTGTACTCAGATGAAAATATCGTTTAAATTCCCCGTTTGACTTTTTCCAACGCTATAAATACTCACGTACGTACTACTTAATAACAAATTGTTTTTATCACTTCAAAGCTGCTTTCTTCTGAATGACTTGTAAAATAAAGTGTTTCGACGTTTTTTGGTACAGTCTAACTGTCCGAAGGTCAGGCTTTTTGGTGAAATTCATGCATGGATGCCCTCCTTGCTTGAACCAAGAGCTTGTGCCCCCAGCTTCCAACCTGTTCATGCGTACTG